CCGCCGGCCGCTGGCGCTGCCCCGGAGCCGCCGCGGGACGGGCGCCCGGAGCCGCTGCCGGCGCGGCGAGCGAGGGGACGGGCGGTAAGTCCTGTTCCCCTGCTCTGCTCCCCTGCCCCGCTCGCTCCCTCCGTCCCTCGCTCGCTCTCCCGGCTCCGCAACCCCTCTCCGGCGGCTCCCGGCTCGTCCCCGCTGGGGGGTTTGTGACCCTTCCTTGCCTCCTACTCACTCGCCAACTTTCCCGTCCCTCTCGCCCGTTTCCAATCTCCCTTCGGATTTTCTTGGGTTTTTTTCGCTTTCTTTTCCTGTTGTTTCTGGGGTATTTTTTTTTTTTTTTTTTTTTTTTTTTTTTTTTTGCTCGGGCGTCCCCCCCCTTCCCCCTCTCGCACTCGCTTCGCTCCTTTCGCTTCTTCCTTCACTACTTCCCCGGCTTCCTCCGGCTTTTCCTCTCTCTTGGCATCCTCTGGGCATCGCGTGGAAAAGTAAGGGATATTTTTCGGTGTCCTTGAGGAAGGGAATTCAAAACCTACTTTTCTTACACAAGGAAATCTTTGTAGTAGTTTTCTTTCCCCTTCTCTTCCTGTCACCGGAAAGAAAATTAAACCTATTTTTGTCCTTTTCATTTTTTCCCCCCTTTTGCTACGTGGACTGTTTGTTTTGGTATTTTTTTCTTCTCCCCCTTCTTCGGGCAGTGCCGGTTTGTTTCACGATTAATCTCTTTGATTCCTGCCCCAACACCTCCCTCTCTCTTTTTCTTCCCTAGTTAGAAGAAAGATTAGAAGAAAATGTGTTTTGCCGGCAGGGAATGCATGAGACTTTTTGGTTTGGTTTTTTTTTCTGGTGGAATACTATTGATGAGTAAAGCTTAAGCAAATACAGTGCGGTAGGACAATACAGAGGCATGAACTTTAAAGAGTAAGGAAATAGATTCTGCTGCTTTCTTTCTCCAGATCTGAAGTGGTGTTGGGGAGGTCGGCTCCAGGGTCCGGTTTGGGGTTGTGCTAGTCTGGTGTGTGCCAGCCTGTTATCTGTCCAGCAGAATGGTGATTTAAACGTAGTCCTAAACTGCATTTCAGTGTTGCTCGTGGGTTTCGTCAGTGTGGGAAATAAGGGGGCAGGGGGAGGTTACAGATTCCGGTGACCCCTTTGGAATTACACCTGTCACGCCTCCCATCCCCAAGCTGCAGGTGTGTCGGAGGTTGACACATTTAACAAAATCGCAGGAAACTGCTCGCTTCTGTGGCCAAAAGTGCTGTCGGAGGTTTAGGAAGTCTGATTCGGAGGACCTGTGAATTTCTGCCTCAGCTCTGGTCAGTATCACACGTTGAAGTTGAGTGTTTGCCGGGCTGTGGAGAGCGATCAAATCAATTGGCGAATGATTTCTGCAAGACGCCTGTTTAAGAGCTTTCAGGTTCCCTGCTAATTGTGTTTGGGCCCGGTGCGATTGCGTTAAGTGCTGTGAAAGTAAAGGGCTCTGTCTTTTTCTGTAGAGAATGTGTAGGTTGTGAATGAACTGTCAACTCTTTTGATTGGGGTTGGTTCTTACTTCTGTTACATTGCCTCCTCTGACAGGTACTGTTCCAAAAGTCCAAAACACCACGTGGCTGAACTGGAAATAAAATCAGCCTTACTTTTCCCCGGCTTTTTTTTTTTTTTTTTTTTTTAAAGAGAGAAATTTTAATTTCGGATTAACTTTTTGTTTGATGATCTCATTGGAAAGTAGACAATTGGAAGTACTTCTCTGAGTCTTAGAGCAGAAAAAAAAAATTATACGGAATGAATTGCTGAGGGAACTGAAATGACTGCTTGGGATTCATTGTACTTAGTTGTGTGCCCTTTAGGACAACTGAGAGATAAAGGTGATTCACTTCTTACAGTTAAGTAATCTCTCCATCCTTTCCACCTTTGGGAGCCCAGTAGAATTTGATCCATTGTTTGAATTAATCTTGTTTTTAATCTTTTCTGGAGACGAAATGTTTGGCATAGTGGGAAATAGGAGGAGAAAAATACTAAGTCATATTTAGCAAGAAGTTTTAAGTCTTTCAAAACTACTTTGAACCATTACTGGAAACACCAGCAACAATTCTGAAGAGCCAGATTAAGTTGATTAATATAACTTCTTAAAATCTGCTTGAGGGAAGCTCTGAAAAGGAATGAAGGAGATTGAGTTGCTGAAAGTGCAGTTGAACACTGATGATGGTGGGTTCTGTTCCTGCTTCTGCCATCGCAGGGCAGTGTGACCTCCTGCTAAACTGCCTTCCTGCCTGCACCTCCCAGGATACTGAGATTGCCCCGATTCTCTTAAGTGCTATTTCTTATTATTTGTAAGAATAATTGCATGTAAATGTTCAGTTGTCGTCCTGATTGCTGATAAGGTGGTAGTTTGGCTCGTGCTGATACTCCTTCTTGGAAAGTTGTAGGGATCTTGAGCATCACCATTTATTTGGAGCAACACTGGATTTTTATATTGCCGCAAAGGTTTTGAGACTAGGGCTATTTTTATCCTCTGAATATCTCTGACAGTATCAGTGCATGCTTTTGCTATGGTCCCTTAAGTCTGACTCAAGCTGACTATGAAGGACAGCATTGACCTCTCCAGAAAGAAACTGTTAAACTGAATTACAGAGTGGAAAACTGTGCTGTGAGGACTGGGCTGAGGACCCCCCTCAGCGTGATGCTTGCTGTTCATGATAATTTTATTTTGTGAGGTCTGTAATTATGAACTTAGCTCAGTCGACCAGTGTGTTTGCTTTCTAATTTTAGGGTTTTTGTTTGGGTTTTTAAGTCTTTAAGACTTGTATCTTGACACTAAATGTAAATGTTTTCTGGGGCTTTTTTGAAAGCCTGGGTTTTCCTGTTTTTTTCGTAGTGGGGTTGGGACTTTACAGTGTGATGAGATTTATTACAATCTCAATGCCTGCCTTCCTGTAACATTTGAGACTGGGGTACTTTGTAAGTGTGAGGCTTTGACCTGTTGCTTTTCTCCAGGGAAAATGATACTCGGTTCTGTAGAAAGTTGTTATTGGGCAAGTATAGGAGTGTTTGTGTGTATATACATGTTGTGTGTTTATAACTTGCTGTCCTCCTGCATATGCACATAGCCAGCGCTGTGCTTCTGAATCTGGACAGCAAATCTAGTCTCAAATTCAGTTTCATAAATAACTAATTCTTCTTACCCTTACTGTTCCCCTTCAAAGCATGCAGTGATCTCATGCCTTTGACAGGAGTGGTTTTCCTGGCTGATAAGGGGATGGTCATGGTGTTTTCTCCCCTGGCTCTTCTGAGGGCTGTATGTTATCTCTCTCTGTGCTGATAAAGTGTGGGGAGGGGGTTGAGTGGTCTGTGTGCACTGAGCAGTGCCATCCTGCTGAGTCTCTATCCAGTTTGTCACCTGTGAAGTTGAGATCACAAAACTTATCCTGCTTGGGAAAGGTAGGTGGGTTTGAGCTGTAGATACAGGGGTTTGTCACATCTGCCAGAGGAACTGCAGACCCCTCTGGGTTGTTACTTCACCTGTATCTCTGCAAGCATCTGGTCATTTTTGTGATGACAAATATGGAGAGTGTTAATGTATCTGAGAGGACTCTAGAAGACAGGCACTGTGAGCTTTCAGCTGACAGGCGCTTGAGAAATCTGCATAATTCAGCTTTCTGCTTTTGAGTCACTCCTTAAGGAGGGAGGAATCTGTTTACTTTCTTGTTGTGCTTGGAAAATGGGCTCATCTACACCAAAAGACCCTGTAATGCTTGCTGTAGTGCAGGATTATTGCACAAAAGCATCTTGCTGTGCAGTGCTGTGGCTGCGCTCGGTATTGTATGATAACACATGTTTCTCAGCTGTTGTTTATTCCTCAGTGGAACATACTTCAAAGGAATGCACTGAAAGAGAGCTGCAGCCAGGGAAAAATGGGGTTTGTTCCAGTGGCCTGTACCATCCATCTGTTTAAATACTCTACTGAACTGTTCCAGAGTGGTCAGGCATCCAGTTAGGACTGATGAGCAATTACAGCTGGGAGTAGAGTGTGCTGCAAGAGACCACCTAGGGGAGGCTTAAGTTCTGTGGGCCAGAGCCCCCCTGCCCTCCCAGCCAGCCAGGAGAGATAAGGCTCCTCATCTGGGGTATCTTTCAACATTCTAATTCCTAATGCTGTTGAGGATTTATTTATTTTTACTCTCCATGCTATCTTTAGCACAAGAAGGGAGGAATGGTAATAAGGACAGACTGTTATCTCTGTAGTCTCCTCTGTGCAGGTAGCAAGATAGATCTGTAATTTAAATGAGTAAATATTTATAAAAAGATTTTTTTTTCCCATAGGTATGGGATAGTTCGCAGAGAGTGATCTGTTGATCACTTGTGTCTCCCAAGGTAGTGATACACATTACTGGATTAATTTCAGCTCCAACATATGAGCAGTAAAGTTACATGGCAGCCAATTACGTTGTGCTCTGTCAAATTGAGGTTGGGAAAACACTTCACAATTTCATCCACAGTAACTAAAAAAACCTGCAGAATTCCAAGTTATGTTTTTAGTTAAATTCCAGCATTAGCGTCTGCTGTGCAAGACACGTGTACACCCGTCATTGCCAACTGAATCTTCATATCATGGCCTGTGTGTTCTATGTGGTCCCAGACAGTGGAACTTAGAGGAAATATTAGCAGAGAGGCTACAAGTAATCCATGGATAACCTGTGAAGTTCCCTGAAGTTTTTCTTTATGGGACTGACATTAATTTTGAGGATTGGAATGAGCACTGTAGATAGAGCAATGTATGTTTCAGCTAAGAGGGTTTAACCTTCTTTGTCAATGGAAAATGCTCATGCAGATGCACTAAGAGGATATTTGAGCTTGGAAGGGTTGTGAGGCACTCCAGGATTTGTTTTTCGCCTGCTAGCAAGCATCACAGCTTTAAAGGTGAGCTTGAATGTTGTCCTCTCCTGTGGTATTGCTCTCTCCTTAGTACTGTGATGTGACATTTATGCCTTTGAGAATTCTTTTTCCCCATGTTGGCGGTTGTGATGGTTTCATGGTATTTTGAGACGTCAGATTTTATTGCCTTACTACTCCTTTGAGTGGAAAGGGGAGGGAAACTTCTAGAAATGTGTAATGCAGCTGACTTCCAGCTTCTGCCCTTGCTCCAGGCTTGACATCGTAGTTGGAATTTATTTACTTGCTTTGAAAGCTGTACTCAATGTAACCTTGAGTTTTACTTCCCTTCCTGCAACAGTACCTGACATGTTTCCAGCCTGTACATTGATGTGCCTCTGCATTGTCCAGTTTTAAACTGGCCAGGCTCTCAGTGCTTTCTTTATATTGTGTTCTCCCCAGGAATCTTCAGAGCTGGAACTTCCTTTTGCTTCAAGTGAACTGGAAGTATTTTGCTAAAATATTTTTGGACTCCTGAAGTGTGTGTCAATGTTTCCAAGCTGTTGTTTGAAAGGAGTTTGGAGTTTCCGGAAGAACCTTTGGAAACTTAAGGTTTTACTCTCAGTCAGCAGTTCTGTGAGCATGGATAAAGAGAGGCTGTAATTCCACTGGGCAGCCAGATGTTTTGTGTCTGTGCTGAAGTGGGAAGACAGTGTGGCTTTAGGGGTTGAAGGGTCTGCTGTTCTTGTCACAGGGCTGTTTGGAGATCTTCAACAGATCTGATCTGCTTTCTCTCCTCTGCCTTCTACTCCCTCCTGCCATGCCTGTGCTGATGGTGATTACCTCCTTCTGAGTAAAATGGGATTATTGAGAGCAGAGCATAATTTCTTGCTTTCTAAAAGGTAGGTATTTGCTTGTCAGTCTGTGTTTCTTAAATACTAAGCTTGAAGCCATATAAAAGTTGCATGTACCTTGACAATTAGTGAATTAATAGCAATTATCCAATAGATTGATACTAATGCTTATTCTAACTAGTGGCATTAAGTGAAATTTATAAAGAAGTCAGTTTGCCTTGCAAACAGAAGAGAGCGCTCATTGATGCAAATCCCCCAGTTCCATATTAAATTGCACCATTTTTAGGCACTTAAACACTTGTAAAATCTGTGTCTGTCCATGTCTTTCTTCTCCCTCTTCTATGTGACCTATGAGGGAAAGTTAAAAGGAACTCATCAGTGGCTGCACATGTCAGCATCTTCCTGGAGAAGAAAGTATGAAGATGCCACAGCTGATAATATTTAGAAGTTGGTATTGGGAATCAAGAGAGCAAATTCTTAAATGTGCCATTGTAGCTGTGTGGCTGGCAATATTAACTAAGTTGTATCTGGAATAATAATTCCTATCTGGAGAAAAACATATGGCAGTGGTTGAATGCCCTTGTCCTTGCCCACCAGGAAGTGATTATGGTGGTTTTTCAGTTTTTTTGGGTTGGTTTTTTTTTTTTTTTTTTTTTTTTTTTTTTAAAAATTTTTCCCTGGGGTTTCTTCCTTGCCTCCA